ATTGTTAACAATTAAAACACAGTAACATTCATCGGTTCACCCTCCTCTCCCAGCTGGTTTACCACTCTCTCAAGAAGAGCTAAGAAGAGCTAAGGAGCGAAGAAGAATTTTTTTAAATGGAATTAAAGTGGCTTCGTTTAGGAGTGACAAATCTTGAGAAAGTTAAATAACAGAGCAACGGAGCCTCCTTCTCTCCAGACGACTCGTCCGCTCCCCTGCCCAACCTTGGCTGCATTTCTCCAGGGAGCCTCTGGGGGCGCTGCCGGCCACGACCGAGCACGCGCCGCCGTCGTGACGTCACTTCCGGACCCGGGCGGAAGTGTTCCGCCGGCGGACCGGAAAGTAGCTGAAGTCAGGGCGGTGGAGGTTCTGGAGGCCCTAATCCGGGACAGTCCTGGCGCGACCGGGCCCCCGCGGTCGAACCGACCTGGTTGGCGAGCTCCGGGGCCCCGAGGGGAAGAGCGTCAGGGGCTGAGCCGACACCTTAGCACGGGGCTGTGACGGTCTCAGTTGCGCTCCTTTCTGACTGCGGGCTGTAAACGCCGCTTGAGCCCAGTTGCCCCGGAAGCAGGTTCTCCTGTTGCGTTGCTCCTGGAGGTGATGGAACGGGCGGGGATTTCCCCCTTCACCGCCAGGTCAGGTGGGAGCCAAGGGCTGGGGGTTCACAGGCCGACTTCCCTAACATCTCCTCCTCTCCACCGCCACAGGGATGGAGGGCGCTAGGCCGTCCAGCAGCACCATGCAGGTTAGCTTCGTGTGCCAGCGCTGCAGCCAGCCCCTGAAACTGGACACGAGCTTCAAGATTCTGGACCGTGTCACCATCCAGGAGCTCACAGGTCAGCGCGAGCGTTGGAATGAGGGAGGGCAAGAACATGGAGAGTGGCACAGCTTTGGAGAGCTCTTTCTCTCTCTCTCTCACACACACACAGCGTTGGAGATCTCTTACACACACACACACACACACACACACCTACACACCTACCTACCTCACTCCCCACCCCCCTATCCCCGTGGCTCTCAGTATAGTCTGCCACCTAGCTGCTGTGGGAACTTTAGGAATGGTTTATCATTTCTCTGGCTCCCTATGTTTTCACATTTATAACATGATTTCTAGAAAGCAAAGGGAGTTCTAACATCCTGGACTTCTAAGGGCTTTCTATAGCAAAGAAAGTCCCCATTTTTCTCTCTGCTGCTTCACAGTAAAGGAACATGTAAATAGCCGGCATTTCTTCAGGACTCAACACAAACCGATGCTTACTTAATTTAGTTCCTGGCAACAACCCCTCTGGAGTAATACCACTATTATCCTCGTTTTACAGACTAGGGGTTGAGGTTCAGAGAGGTTAAGTGATTTACCTAACATTTCAACTGTTGCTAAGTGGAAGAGCAGAATCTTAAATGTATTCTTGTCTAATTCCTGGCAGTGAGGTGAAGTTAGAAAGGGATGGGGGAGATGGCTGAACAGGTGGTTTAAATGAGTCTGGAGCCCGCCTGCTTGAGTTTAAATTCCAACTCTGTCACTGCTGAATAACTTTTTGAAAAATACTGCATCTCTCTAAGCTTTGGTCTATCTGTAAAATAAGGTTGATACCTACAAAAGATGGTTGTGAAAGAGCACACACATATTTAGGGATGACCTGGACAAATTATTGTTAGCTGTCATTGGGTCACCTCCTTTTATGGTGAGCCCCAGGGACCGCAGAACACACCATTGCCCAGTTCTGGGCCATCTTCACAATCACTGGTCTGCTCAGATCTACGGGAGTGACCACTCAATTCTCTTGAGTGTTTTCCAACCTAGAGGACTCATCTTTTGTCACTATATCAGGTGACATTCTGTTGTGATCTTTGGGGTTTCCATTGACTAATCTGGGAAAGTGGGTTCCCACACATTCTTCCTGGGGTTATTAACTTTTACCATAAAAAATGTCCAAGAGGATACAACTTCTTCGCCTAGCTCCAACAGTTGTCAATACATATCAAATCGTGCTTCATACCCATCCCAACCATTTCTTCGCCGCCCAAAATTGAAGCACATTCTGAACATTAATACCATAAGTGCTTCAAGATCTTCGAATAAGGGCTTTTTTGTAAAAGCCATCATGACACCATTTGCATGCTTTCCAGATATTGGACAACTCCTTAATCCGATTTAATGGGGAAGAA